TGTGCACCTATCCCTTGACTGATGTTTTACAAGAAAGAACTTCTACAATGAATGAGTGAATGCATGAATTGAAAAGGAAGGATAGTGATATGAAATATCACTAAAGTGAACAGTAGTTTTTGACAGTCTACATTTACTGCACTTCACATTAACAATTTGAATGGATTCAACAACTGGAGACAAGGATAACTTTTTCTATTTTTGCACATCAATAAGTCATAGGATATGTGTTACGGCATTTATTATAAGAAAACTACATCTTGCCTGTTACTGAGAGATAAATTTTTAAGTTATGTATTCAATACAGACTATTAATTTTTAAATCAACACTTCTAATTCTCCCATCATGAATACTTCAGTCCCTCATTCCTAAACTTACATATAAGAAGTTTTTTTATGTTTCTATTTGATGTGCATAAGTATCAATTAGTATGAAGGTGAACTAATAAAGTTTAATCAAGATTTACCTACATCAATGTGACTATTTTATGGGGTACAATATGAAGTTTTAAAACATGTATAAAGCATGTAATGACCAAATCAGGGTGATAAACAAACTTGTCATCTTTCTTGATACTCTGTGGTAAATCATTCAGTATCCTTTCATCTCTAGCTTTTTAAATATCTGATGCATTGCATCCTATACATTTGTAAAACACTTAAAATAAAACTTTAAACAAAAAGATAAAGTATGCCATAAAAATTTTTTAAAAGATGAAAAATATGGCCACACACCCACTTACACATTTTCTTACCTAAATGCATTTGAGCTTAAAAAGTCGTCTTTTTAAAGGACATTTTCTTCCCTGAGAGCATATGAATCTGGAGGAAAAACATAGTAATTACTTATGCTTGCCTATCTACATGAAGGTCAATTCAAATATATTTAGAGGGAAAAATTATAATATCATGACTCTAAGCCATAAATTCTGAGTGAGCATAATAATGGCAAGAGAAAATGGAGTTTCCTAGTTCACGATGTTACCAATCAGCTAATGTCTATCTGATGAACAATGACCAGCTCATCAAACTATCATTGTGGGTGTAATGCTAATAATGTGTCCTCAGAATATATGTGCAATAATATGCTTCACACAAATAAGTTTTTAAATTTTCAGTTAAGTAGTATTTACATGATATAAGACTTTTTAATGATGTAGATATGTATAATAAAAAACAATGTATACTCTATTTTAAGAATAAGAAATACTCTCATTTTAAAAAGTGCACACTTTCACTAATTACATTTATTTTAGAGGCTATTTATTAATCTAAATTTTAACACCAAGGAACATAGATTATGAGCTTCTGAAGGCATATATAATCAAGACTAAATTCCTCTGAAATGCTCATGGGGGTAAACACATTTTATTGCCTCCCCATGAAGTAAGAGACCAACTTTTATTATTCCAACACGAGAAACAAATGGTTTTAAAGACAAAATTTACACGTGTATCATAAAACTCTGACCATGTTAAAATATTTTTAGAACACGTCCTAATGATCCCATGCTTAACGATCTCCCTACTTTTCAGAATCAAAAGGAAAAACAAAACAAACCACAAACCAAAACAATAATCTTAATCTTGAACAAGAAGCAAGAGAACTTTCCTTTACTACTACAGGACAAGGAGGCAAGGCACGTTTTATCGGTCTTTATGAAATTTACACACAAAGATGTCAAAGGTCACCCATAAGTGGTATAGGTCCAAATTAATTACTGATGTACGACCTAAAAATTGAAGAATTGAGTCTATACTCAACTTACTGTAATTTACCACTGTAGGGCAAATTGTTGAAATTATTTTATGGGGTGAAGGCTACAGGAAGAGAGCAGTGGTATTTCAGTTTACAAACTTCGTTTCAGCGTTTTGGTCACAGAATATATTTCACCATTCTGGCTGAAACTGAATTGTAAACATAGTACTTATATGTATTTGAAAGAGAAAAAAAATCACCATCGTAATTTATGTCACATCCTATCTTGCAGTATTGATGCAGCCTAATGAACCTCTCTTACGTTAGAGAGAAAAAAACAAAAACAAAAAACAGGGCTTCATTTTGATGTTCAATGTCCAAAGAAAAAATCAACCAAAACAAACTAGAAAAAAAGATGAAACACAGAGACATCATCTTGCATTAATTCAAATTGCTTGGACTTCCTGTTCCTCTTTCAGATGTGTGCCACAAGTTTGGGGAAAGTACAAACTTTATTATTGTTAGAAAAAAAGCCTCACATATTCTAACAATATTTGCTAAACTGATCATTAAACTTGATAAGTCAAATTGTATACTGTAGAAAACGTACAGTTTGCTGGAAAGGTAGGAATATAAGAAAAAATGGACCAAGTTAAAGCAGAACAAATAGACAGTGAAACAGGTTAAAAGGAGCCTGTCACATTTTATTTTGGTCATTTATTTTCTTGAAAAGCATATCTTTTTACATCTATTTACATAGCAGGCTAGCTAGTTTCATCCAATCTATCTTTAGGCCTAAGAAGTCACTTGTCCTGTGTCTAACATTTAATATATATTCTGTTCATTGTATGTTTACCTTCATAAATTACATCTTTCATTTCTAAATATGCCATTTGGTTCTTTGGTTATTATGCCACATCATGGATAACCTGTTTTTTATTCCTCATGTATTCATCTATCTTCTATCTCTTTAAACAGTTTATAAATAGTTTTTTTATGTTTCTGATATAATATGTGAAGTTTTTCAGATTTCTGCCAACTATCTCCATGCTGATTTCTTTTGCGTCTGGTGATATTTGATTATTCATTCATATTTGACTGCAAATAATCTACGGGAATTAGGGATGGGTCTATCTTTAAATGACCCATGCAGCTTCATGGGTCTTGGCTCAATGGAGAAGTCTTCATGCTTTCCATGTCCAACTTTATTGATAACTCAGCTTCATTCTTCTCTTTTTCTTTTTTCTTCCTTTGCTTTTATTTTTTAAATGTTTTCTTTGGTGAGGGTGGATACTTTCTTGCTATTATCATTCTTTGAGTTAAGAATTCAGTTGAGGGGCTGGGGATTTAGCTCAGCGGCAAAGTGCCTGCCTGGCAAGCACAAGGTCGTGAGTTTGGTTCCCGGTACCGGAGAAAAACCAAAAAAAAAA